CCTAGACTAAAAGGTTATGGCAAGTGGTTTCGTAACTTTACTTACATGCTTACAAGCTCATATCACATTATCTCAATCATACTTGCTTACGGACTTACGCAGTCTCTGTCAGGGCATCCTTTGAGGTCATTAGGCCTTGATGATCAAAGCCTAACTTTATCCTTTTAATAACTCTGATTTAGTATCGGTATTGCGTATAGACACTAGCAAACACACGCATAACCTCAAGCAAAAGTAGCAGGAAAATTATGAAAGACAATTAGCCAACAACTCTATATCCATCTAGGCTTTTAATCTTTAATTTTCTTTTGTCTTAACTAAGTCTATATAAGAGTTAAGATGAAGCCAAATAGTCTGTTTAGCCTAGTGTTAACAAAAGCCATTTACAAGAATGACACCCAGCTCTGGTGATATAGATATGCATTCCGCAGTAGTGTTGTGCTTACTAAGGACTTATATGAGTTCATTAGAATTTGGACAGCCTTATTTATTCATACCATTACTGATGTTGTTTTGAGCTATATACTGCAAGTAAGCATAATAAATAATAATGTTATATTCTCTTAGATGATACATAAATATGTTAATTACAATTAAATTATATACACAATATTATATATTCTATTAAAATTAAGTAAACCTTGCCATTATTTTTTTCTTAATTCTCATGTATTGCTAGCCGGGTCAACTAAGCCCTTTAGCGTCGTAGGCCTAGCCCAGTGTCATCATGCTACCGGTATTGTTTTATATCTTCCTAGCATTTATAGGATCCAAGTATGTATGCCATAAAGGCCATAATTATATTGGATATAGATGGGAAGCGTGTATTGGCTAAAGTATAGCATATCTTATAATTGAGTCCTCTAGTATTACACTGATATGTTTCCCACACTCAAGAGTCAATCCACTTTTGAATCTAAACTATTCAATAAAACTAATAGAACTCCATGTGGAGAAATAACTTTGTTCGAAGGAACAACTTGTGTATATAAAAGCAACGTTGACTTGTTTTTCTATATTGTTGGCGATATTTCAGAGAATGAGGTACATTATTATTGTCATTACTTTTAAAGCTTATATTAATTAGTGCTCTTAACTGTCTATATGACTCTATTGGTCAAATACTCAAAAGGAGCGTCGAAAAGAAGATGCTTGTTGATAATTTAGATCTCATATTTTTAGCTATAGATGAACTTTGTGACGAAGGGTATTATTTTATTGTAGAGATATCTCTAATAATTTAGTGTATTACTCGAATGTGATGCCTCCTCTCTTGCCTCTCGTGTTGGATCTAGGCCTGATGACATTCCACTGAGCGAACAAACTGTTGTACAGGTGACTTGATTTGCCTCTGAGTTTTTTATTTTAAACTTCCAAGTTTGCATTGTGTTTGTATTTTTGCTTTCGATTATGATTTTACATTATAATTAGCGTTACTACTACCCTTATTCTACCTTGATTGCATCCATACATTCTTGCTCTATAACTCAAGCCCAAAAGAAAATTTGAGTTACTATCCTTCCGCTATAAATGAATGAATCGTCATCTTATTAACGTGGCACCCAGATAATTGTGTAAATCCAGGCTATTGAGATCAACTGACTATTAGCTGTACGACTTCTAGGTCAAGTGATTGTTTATAAGCCTTTGTCTCACTAAGAATTAAAGATGCTAGACTTATCTGCTCAAGTATTTGTTATAATCGAAAGCTTGCTCTGCTATTTTGCTTATCACGAATTTTTTTTTACTTATTAATAAGTATTATTTTCGTCACATTTATAAATATTACATATATATTATTTGCAAACTAGATTAACTTGCATACTTCTGAGTGCGATTCCTTCCTTATGTAGTTTTGGCAATGCATATGCATTCAGAAACCTAGCATCTCATTGAAGAAATGTTCTCATTTTACACTTGTATAATGTTGCAAGTAATCTATGAATTTAGACTTCAGGGTTTCTGTAG